CCCAGGTGGGGCTCAGTGCCCGAGTTGCGGCCACGCGCCCCGCCCCGCCCAGATTGCAGCCCTTGCGGAAGTGCGGGCCGCGCCCGGGATGTTGTCCCTGGCGGCCACGCTCTGGCGGCCGCGGGGTCCTGGACTGGCCCTGAGGCCCCTGCGCTCTGCTGCTTGCGCAGAGTCCCGGCCTTGGGCAGGCCGCAGGGAAGGGCGCGTCCTCGCCTACCGCGCCGCCCGCGGTGATCTAAAAAAGCTTTGGGCGCTTCTCGAAGACCTGGTGAGCAGCAGCCGAGACCCAAGGAATCGGGGCGACCGCGTCCGTCCCTGTGGGGTCGACGCCTCCTGGGGCGCCCCTAGGCCAGGTCCAGAAAGGGCCCTGCGAACGCTGACCGCCGCAGTAGCCCAAGTTGTAGCCACAGACCCTCCCAAGTGGGTACAACGTAAGAACGCTTAAGGGCTGAGCGCGCTTCTGCGCTCCTTGGGATGCAGGCGGCCCTCAAATCTGAGCTCTGTCATGCCCTGGGCCGACCGTGCCCTGCACGTGGCTAGGACTGGAGCGTGGCTAGGACTGGAGCATACTTCCTCAGGCACGTCCAGGCTGTGAACCAACCCTAAGGGTTCCTTGGGGCAAGCGGCTGGGCTGCTCAGAAACCACTCTACCCTAGGAGTTGAGTGTGGCTCTGCCAGATGGGTCTGGGGGCTGCACACTGGGGTGGGGTGGGTAAGACATGTGCCCTTACCTCCTTGAGGAACAGGCTGCATTTCCTACCTAGTTCCTGTCACCATACTGGGGGTGCGCTGGCGCCTTCTTGGGGTGCTTGGTGCTCACCAGTGCTCCTCCCTTCACCCACTCCCTTTAGCACAGGCCAGGGCACCCGGGCCAGGGCTGACTAGCGGGAAAGGGCCCCAGACCCAGCCTTACAGACTTGTCGCACCCACAGGTGTCCGAAACCCAGGCTAGAGGTAAGCATGGCGGAGCAGGAACCCACAGCCGAGCAGCTGGCCCAAATTGCAGCTGAGAATGAGGAGGATGAGCACTCAGTCAACTACAAGCCCCCGGCCCAGAAGAGCATCCAGGAAATCCAGGAGCTGGACAAGGATGACGAGAGCCTGCGCAAGTACAAGGAAGCCCTGCTGGGCCGCGTGGCTGTCTCTGCTGGTGAGTGGCTCTTGAGGGGCAGCTCTTGTACTTGTCCAGGGACACCTGTTACCCTCTGCTTTTGCTGTGGTACCTGGCTCCTCCCTTGGCCGAATGCTGCTGGGAGTGAGCCATGGATTGAGAGGTGAGCTCTAACCTGCTGTCTCCCTAGACCCCAACTGCCCTAACGTCATCGTGACTCGTCTGACCCTAGTGTGTAGCACCGCCCCTGGTCCACTGGAGTTAGATCTGACAGGTGAGTGGGTACCAACGTCCCAGGGTGGGGCCGCTGGTGGCTGCAGCCTGCCCTAAAAATAATTTCCCTGGGCTTGCGCCCTCTGGTGAGGCTAACGGGAATTCCTGGTACCGGAGCAGGCTGGCTGTGAGAGGGCGGGGCCTCGCACTTACCTGAGCCTTCTCCCCACCGCAGGTGATCTGGAGAGCTTCAAGAAGCAGTCCTTCGTTCTCAAGGAGGGTGTGGAGTACCGGATAAAAATCTCTTTCCGGGTAAGGCCCTGGTTTCGGGAGATACCCGGGAGAAGGGGCCAGGGAGCCTGACTGACCCTTGGCCTGGGTCCTTACAGGTGAACAGGGAGATTGTGTCTGGCATGAAGTACATCCAACATACCTACCGGAAAGGCGTCAAGAGTGAGTTGGTGCCAGGGGAGGGAGAGTTGTGGGCTTCCCTGGAGGAGCTGGCAGCATGAGTGGCCATGCCTTTCCTCCTGTCCCACAGTTGACAAGACTGACTACATGGTGGGGAGCTATGGGCCTCGAGCAGAGGAATATGAGTTCCTGACACCCATGGAGGAAGCACCCAAGGGCATGCTGGCTCGAGGCAGCTACAACATCAAGTCCCGCTTCACAGACGACGACAAGACTGACCATCTGTCCTGGGAGTGGAATCTCACCATCAAAAAGGAGTGGAAAGACTGAGGCCTGGCTGGGAGGCGGGCAGGGTAGATGGACAGACGAATGGACGGACGAACATGACCCTCCCCATCTCCCTCCCCACCCCAAACCAAAGCGCTGACAGGGCCTCTCCCTGCCACCATTCCCCCTTGGTCCATCTGGTCCTTCTCTGGGGAGCTCCTCCACCCACTCGTCCCTTGCCCTCCTGCCCACAGGCCCCTATGGTCTCTAGTGTCACGTTGCTGCTTCTGCCTGTGCCGTGTAGGGTGGGGGGACTCCAGCCAGGCCTCCCCACCCTTCTCTGTCTCTCCAGGTTTTCTCTCCCCATCCTCCCCCAGGCCCAGACTGGGTCCTGGCTTTCAGAAGGGCCAGGAGCTCCGCCCCGGCTGAGCTGGGGTATGCACTGCCAGGCCCTGGCCGGTCCACCCTGCCTCCCTGGCCAGTCCATTTGTCGCTGTCAGTCACCGTCTAACCATGATGCCTTAACATGTGGAACGTGTGCTGGGGGCTGTCGCTAACCCTTAACTCCCTGTCTGCATGAGCATGTGGTCTCCCCGTCCCAGCCCTGTCTGATCCCCCTGACCTGGGGAGGCCTGGGGTGTGCTGCTCTTGCTCCTGCCCATCCTGCCAGGGCCTGGCCAGCCATTGCCCTACTCCAGCTAGGGCTTGGGGAGGGCCAGATTGCCAAAACCGAGCGCCTGCAGCCCCATCTGAGAGGCAGGTGTGCTCTGCCTTCTTTGCCCCCAGGGCAGTGCTCATGTCCTCCTTCCCACCGAGAGCCCTTGAGGGACAAAGCCAGCTGCTGAGCCTTACTTGTCCCACCTGGGCCATGGCCCCAGAAACCTTGTGCCTGGCCTGTCAGTATTTATTGCCTCCATTCGTACTGTCCTCTGGGCTAGGTGGCCTGCTGCCTCTGCTCTGGCTGTCAGTACCACCATCCCCAGGCAGGCCCTCCCTGGACCCAACCAGGACAAACATGGGACCAAGTGCACACACAGTTGGGAGCTGTTTTCCTATGCCTCCCCTACCCCTCCCTGGTCCCCAAGTGGTGTTTGTCAGGTCCAGGCCTTGACAGGCAGAGGGGCCTGTCCCTGCTTCTATTCTGACTGGGAAATAAACACCCCTGAAGGAGTGGGGTCTCTGCTGCTTCTCTTGGAGGTTTGGAAGAGGTGGCAGGCTCCCTGCAGGGGTGAGGTGTACCAGAGAGCTTCACAGGCTAGGGGGGTTGCTGCTTCCAACCCTGAGGTGCTTTAGCTGCTGGTTCCACGGGGAGGCTTAGGCAAGAGGATAACGATGAGTTTGAGGCCAGCCTGAACTATATGAGACCCTCTCTCAACGAGAAAGAAAAACAACTTTGAAAAGGGACTGGTGAATGCCTGTAATCCAGCACTTAGGGGGCTGAGGCAGGAAGATCATTGTGAGTTACAAAGTGAGCTCAAGGACAGTTTGAACTGCATAGCTAGACCCTGTCAGAGAAAGACGAAAGAAAAGGAACTGGTGAGCCAGGAATGGTAGCACATGCCTGTGATCCCAGCATATGGAAGGCTGAGGCAGGAGGATCACAAGTTCAAGACCAGCATGGACTACATAGTGAGACCCTGTCAAAAAAAAAAAAAAAAAAAACTGGGAATGTAGCTAAGTAGTAAGTGCCCCTGGGTTTTTATGCCCAGTACTGCAAACAAAAAGGTTGCATATGGGGCTCAATGCAATGCTCTAGTTCAGTCTCCAGTACTGCAAAAATTAAACCCTTCTGACAGCCCTCAGAACCCCCAGTGGCTCATAGCCCCTGAGTCATATACAGGTGTAGCCCTTCACAGGAAGTTGGAGTAGGTCATGTTTGGGGGTCGAGAACCAGATCCTGAACTGAAGCCTTTGGGGTTGACTTGCAAAACAAGTGTATCCCCTGGCTCCTGCCGGCTGCAAGGACTCCCTGTATCCCCTTCCTGCTTCCCGCACTGGCATGGGACTTTCCCCAGCTCTGGGGAGGACCGGGAGCCTATGTGCAGCTAAAGGAAAGGTTGCTGCCACCCAAACGCGCAGCCCTTAGACGTTAGAACCCTGTAGGGCGAGGCCAATGCTGGAGCCGGAAGCCAGTAGCAGTTAGGGTAGGCGGGGCTAGGGAGGGGGTGTGGGAGGGGCATGAGTTCGGGGAGAGGCCTGTCATACCGCTTGGGGGTGCAAGAGAGCTGCTAGTCGAGCACTGGCCATAGGGCCAGTCCAGCCCAACATTGCAGAGGAGCTGGCCTCTGGCAGGATGACACAGCCATCTCTCTTGAGGACCCCAAAGTTGGCCAGTAACTTTGTTTTTGTGTTCTGTGGGTTTTCTTGGTAGCAGGGGTCGAACTCAGGACCTTGCGCTTGGCAGGCAGGCGCTTGTGCTGCTGACTTATTTCCCTGGCCTGGCCAGTAACTTTGAACCCCCACCCTGCCCAAGCTGGCCTTGAACTCATAGGTAGGGCTCATAGCCCAAGCACCACACAGGTACTGCTCCAGGAATATTCTGGCCTGATACAAGCTTCGAAACCTGCCCTCTGCAGTCTGGACTGCTTAGGAAAGAAGTTGCAGACCATGCATAGGCAGCTGGCATCAGCTGAGGTGCCCCAGTGCCATACCTGGCCACGCCCACACTGACCCACTGTAGTTCTGGTGCCCAGCAGTGGGTTGAGAGCTCGATGTTTGCTGATCCCAGAGAAGTCCTCTTCCTCATCACTGAACCTACTGCACCAGTTCAGGTTCCTTAGCCAGCACATTTCAGGCAGGTATCCTTACCTGGCCCCTAGGGGAGCCATGGAGAAGTTGACCCCAGCGCTGGCCCTCTGAGAATGACTGACATAATGGCAGCTGGCCCTGTCGCAGATCCCCAGAGCCAAGACCCTGCCTAGCCTCTCCCAAAACTGCTCCAGCCAAGAAGGGCAGGTGCCCGAGACTTCCCACGATCATCCATGCATGAGGACAGGCTCAAGTCTCCTAGTACATTCTCTGCTGTCAGCAGTTCTACTTACTAGGCCAGGGCTTCTCAGGCTCACATTGGACCACAAGGTTTAATCTTTTCACTCTGGGATTTTCCCAGCTTGTCACACATGTGAACTCAGACCCAGAGTGCCAAGTTGTGCAGACACATAGCCAACAGCCAGGACTTTGCCCTAGCTCCACCCAAGTGGCACCTGCAGAAGGTTCATGACGTGTCCCTCAGGTCCCAAGTCTAACCTGATTCTCCCAGTCTCCCTCCGACCTGTTTGTACAGCCTGAGCTCCCTGCTCAGCCAGCACTGGGTCTTCTCCACCTGCCTCCCTCAAGCCATGGCTCTCTTCCATGAGGAGAAGTTCCCAAGCTTCCTCCTCTTCATCCAGCCCCAGCCGGGCCCTTATTCCACACAGGAGTGCAACAGCGGAAGCTAGGGCACTTAACAAGAGGTCAGGATCTGTGATGTGACAGTGATCACCAGCTATGCAGACACACGAAACTTCTCCGTGCCTGCCCCATCTTACAATCCCGGGGCCCACTCTCCTGTGTTCCACACAGCTGCCCAGCACAGGGGGACTGCAGCAGCACCAGAACTCTCCAAGTGCCCAAAGCAGAGCTGGCTGTCACCACCCTCTCTGTCCTCACTCGCCACCTCTGATAAAATCCCAGGTTGAAAGGGAGTCATTCTGTTCTGAGAACTTTTTTTTGTACTAGGATTTGAACCTAGTCCTTACACATGCTAGGTAAGTGCTCTACCACTGAACTATATAGCTACATCCCCACCTTTTATTTTCATTATTATTTAAATTTAATTTAATTTTGTGTGTGGTGCTGGGAATTAAATCCAAAGGTTTGTGCATGGCAAGCATTGTAATTCTCCTGCCTCAGACTCCTGAGTAGCTGGGATTAAATATGTGTACTACTATGCTAGGATAAGAACTCTTTTTTTTTTTTTTTTTTTTTTGACACAGGTCTTATGTAGTTCAAGCTGGCCTTGAGCATACTCTTTGGGCCACACTGCCCTCAAACTTATGGCAATCCTCTTACCTTAGACTCCCTGATGCTGGGATCTCAGTAGCGTGCCATCCCTGAAGAGAGTAGTATTAGTTAAAGCACTTGGTTATACAGCAGCTCAACCCATATATAATGGACAGTTTCTGAGCCTAGCAAATCCTTTTCTTGCAGGAGGGGGGCCTTTTGAGACAGGGTCTTGCTATGCAGTTCAAGCTGGCCTTGAGCTCATTTTGTAGCCCAGGCTGGTCTCAGACTCACAATGATCCTCCTGCCTCAGCCTCCTGGGTTTTTTGTTTGTTTGTTTGTTTTGGTCTTTTTGAGACAGGGTCTCGCTATGCAGTTCAGGCTGGCCTTGAGCTGACTTTGTAGCCCAGGCTGGTCTCGAACTCACAATGATCCTCCTGCCTCAGCTTCCCGAGTGCTGGGATTACAGGCATGCGCCACCATGCCCAGCTTGCCTCAGCTTCCTGAGTGCTGGGATTACAGGTGTGTGCCACTACACCTGGTCAAGCCTAGCAAATCCTAAAGCAGGCGTCCTCAGCCCCAGGACTGGTTGCTCGTCTGCAGCCTGTTAGAAACCAGGCTGCACAGCAGTGGGTCAGTATTGGAAAAGTGAATGAACCTCTGCCTGTACAGTGTTGCTCCCAGCGGCTTTGCTTTCTGAGCACCACCTCCTGACAGACTGGCTGTGAACTGCACATGCAAAGGAACGAAGTCATGTGATCCTCTGAATCATCCTAAATCACCCTCAAATCTGTGGAAAAATTGTCTTACATGAAACTGAAACTGGTCCATTTCCAAAAAGGTTGGGGACTGTTATCCCAAAGCATCTGTGATGGGCAGAGAAACACTCATCACAGCCACACGGTAACCCTTGACCTTCAAGGCTCCTCACAAGCCTGAGAAAGAAGGCGAAGAACCAGGCCCCTTTCCCTCAGGCTGCTCAGACACGGCCTTCCTCTCAGGGTGGAGGCCCTCAGGTATTCCTTGTTCCAGCCTGCATTCCAGGGCATAGGAAGCACCGTTTGCCTTATCAAGTGGACTCAGGGGCTGGGGACCTCTCAGGCCATTAGCTGATTTTGCTGTGTCTGCTTGGGT